AGGAGGAGGAGGAGGAGGAGGAGGAGGAGGAGGAGAAAAGGGGGGTGGCATTGAGGAATTTCTTGCCAAGTTTCTCAAATCTATTGCAGAAAAGGACCCTGGAATATTTTATACGGAGTAACCAAATACTTTATCCTGGAATAAGGAGAGCAAAAAGCTCTGCAGATAAAAAGGTCTTTGCCCTGAATTTGCACGAAGGAAGGGATGTCAATGGACATCAGATGTTTAGATACACACACCACGAGATCACAGTCAGCAACCGAACATATTTTCTGACCTTTCAGCTTCAACTGGAGCATAAATCATTACAGCTAGGATGAACGCCAAGTTCTGGCTTGGAGAAAATTGGCAAACTTGGAGGGGATCTAGTAGGCCTCGTTCCTTCGACACTCGGTTTGCTTCTGGCAAGCTCTCCTGATTCTCCTTTTTTTTTCTCCACAGAGTCTGATGTTCAAAGACTTTACATCAAAGATGCTCAGGGCAACCCTCTGGTTGATAAAAAGCAACTGGAGAAGATCCTTCTGCTGAATTATGTATGCAACGTGAATGCCGGTAAGAGGAGAGGAGAGGAGAGGAGAGGAGAAAAAAAACCTGAGGTCTAAATATTTTCAGCAGGATGGAGGTGATGTCTTCAACGTTTGTTGGGTCAATCTCTGCCAGTTGCTAAACCACAAAATGGGGCCAGCTTTAATGCTAGCAGATCTGGGCTGCAAAGATCTGAACCGACGCTTGATAGAGACAAAAAAAATGGACTTTTCCATATCTCCTCAGAGATCATTTATCGGGCTGTGAGAGAAATCATTAAATCACTCAGTACTATGGAGTAAAACACCTACAGGTTGGTGACCATTCAAAGTTACCAAGGACCTATCAGGGGGGCTATTTATGATTCAAAGTTACAATGGTTGTGCCCTCATAGGTTGGCACGGTCACGTGACTGAACTTCAGGCGCTGACTGGGAAATTCTGGGCGTTGAAGTCCATTCATCGTAACGTTGAAGTCTTAGAAGTTGCTCAACTTGAAAAACACTGAGTTAGAGAGTTAAGGATTTACTCTCTGCCTTTGTCTTTGAAAAATTTATTTATTTATTTATTTATTTTATTAAATTTATATCCCGCCCTTCTCCTTGCGGACTCAGGGCGGCTAACAATCGGGTAAAAATACACAAATGACATTACAAATTTAAAAATTAATTAAAAAGGAAATATTTAAATTTAATCTAATTAAAATGTAATTAAAACCCCTCTAAAAGTTTCCCCTAGGCCAGTCCCGCAAGCTGGAATAACCATGTCTTAAGGGCGCGGCGGAAGGAAGGGAGATCAGGGATCACCCTGATCTCTGGGGGCAGTTCANATCAAGGCAAGGCAGACTCAAGGAAGATTTACAACTGAGATGGGACGCAGGCCAGGCCCTCCAGATATAATAGATATTCTCTCTTGCCGGAGAATTCTTTAAACAGGTCACATACTGGGGAAATGTTCCCCTTTATTGCCCGTTCTCTTCCCCAGAATTGGAATCAAAAGAGATCATTTCCCCACTTTTATAGGGAGAGGAAAAAAAAAGGAGGATGTTAGATAGCCGCTTTTCGGCGTTACCCGTTTCCAACCCACTTGGGGATTTAGTGTCTCTCAACGTCTCCACTCGGAGGTTGAAATATTTGGCTTTGCTTTAAATTGCCCTGCTGTTTGGTTCTTTTATTATTATTTTACTTCCTCAGAACAATCAATTTCAGCCTTCAGTGAGGGACTGTTTAACTTTGAGAGGGGTTACTAAATTAAGAGGTGCCAATGAGCTCTTCAGTAGCTCTGCTAGGAGCAATAGGGGTGCTTAATTCAAGGAGCACCGTAGAGAGAATAACCTGTTGCTCTTACTTGAGAGTAGGGATTTCTTTCTGGGTTCTCTTGAATGGATTTTGAACTTCTTTTGTAATTGTTGTCTTTCTTTCTTTCTTCCTTCCTTCCCTCCCTCCCTTTTTTCTTTCTTTCTTCTTTTCTTTCTTTCTTTCTTTCTTTCTTTTTTCTTTCTTTCTTTTTCTTTCTCCCTTTCTTCCTTTATCTTTCTTTCCTTCCTTCCTTCCTCCCTCCCTCCCTTCCTCCTTCCTCCTTCTCTTTTTCTTTCTCTCTCCCTCCCTCCCTCCCTCCCTCTCTCTCTCTTTCTCTCTTTCTCTCACACTCCCTCCCTCCTTTTTTCTTTTTTCTTTTTTTCTGTCTTCCTTTCTTTTTTCTTTTTCTTTCTCCCTTTCTTTCTTCCTTTCTTTATCTTTCTTTCTTTCTTTTTCTTTCTCCCTTTCTTTCTTTCTTCCTTTATCTTTCTTTCTTTTTCTTTCTTTCTTTCTTTCTTTTTTCCTCCCTCCCTTCCTCCTTTCTCCTTCTCTTTCTTTCTTTCTTTCTTTCTCTCTCTCCCTCCCTCTCTCTCTTTCTCTCTCTCTCTCTTTCTATTTCTCACACTCCCTTCCTCCTTTTTTCTTTTTTTCTTCCTTTCTTTTTTCTTTTTCTTTCTTTTTCTTTCTCCCTTCTTTCTTTCTTCCTTTCTTTTTCTTTCTTTCTTTTTCTTTCTGTCTTTCTTTCTTTCCTTCCTCCCTCCCTCCTTCCCTCTTCCTTCTTTCCTTTCTTTCTCCTTCTCTTTCTTTCTTTCTTTCTCTTTCTTTCTTTCTTTCTTTCATCACTTATTGTTTTTTTACAAATAACTCAAAGTGGTGACTATATCCAACACACCTTCCTCATCCTATTTTCCCCACCAAAAAGCCTGTGGGGTGGGGTGGGCTGAGGGGGGGGGAATTGTCTCAAGGTCACCCGGTCAGCTTTCATGCCTAAGGCAGGACTAGAACTCACCATCTCCTGGTAATCGGCCCATAGTCACTCAGTTTCCTTCCCTGCTTAAAGCAGGACTAGAATTCACTGTCTTCTGATGATTGGCCCAAAGTTACCCAGCTAGCTTCCAGGCCTAAAGTGGGACTAGAACTCACAGTCTCCCACTTTCTATCCTGGTGCCTTCCCCATTAGATCAAACTGGGTCTCCAGCCCTCTAGCACTCATCCAAAAGATACCCTTATATACAAGTAATAAATATATAAGGAGCACGATGGCTCCACTCGTTGGAACACCTGGCAGGAGGTTAGCAAGCCCACGTTTGAGACCCTGCACTGGGTGGGGTTGAGCTCTTGTCCTTCGCTCCAGCTCCTGCACATGAAAGGAGCCCCCAACTGGGCATCCCCAGGGCAGTGGTAGCATCACTGGCTAATTCTTTCAACCCAGAAGCACCGAGGTGCTTTTGATTCAAGTGCCAAATAAACATATTATTGTGCAAAACACAGTTCTAGACATCAATGATTCTATCCAGTTTGGCGAGTCCCGTTTCTCATTTTTCCCCTCTGGAGATTCACTTTCAACCCTAATCCCTTTTATGAGACATCATCTGTCCTTCCTTCCTTCTTCCTTCCTTCCTTCCTTCCTTCCTTCCCCTTCCCCTTCTTTTCCTGTTGCACTCGATTTGTGTCTGTCCTCCAAGCCTTTTCAATCGTACCAATTTTTTAAAAAGTATAACCCGGCTGGAGCAATGCAAAGGGATTTGAAGGCAGGCTAGAATCTGCCTATGAATAAATCAGTGTCTGCTTCTGACTGCACCATCTACATAAATAAGTCAACAATGAGAGAAGGAAAACAACAACAACAATCCAGAGGAGGAGGAGGAGGAGGAGGAGGAGGAGGAGGAGGAGGAGGAGGAGAAGGAGAAGAAGAAGAAGAAGAAGAAGAAGAAGAAGAAGAAGAAGAAGAAGAAGAAGAAGAAGAAGAAGAAGAAGAAGAAGAAGAAGAAGAAGAAGAAGAAGAAGAAGAAGAAGAAGAAGAAGAAGAAGAAGAAGAAGAAGAAGAAGAAGA